ATCCTGAACTCAATCATCTTGTGATTACTGCTGCCCAAATTGCCATCCACTTTTACATCCCTCACCCTCTTTGTGATTGGGGTACTCTTCTGGGATTGGAGAGAGATGGGTTTGAATCCTTCAGCCAGGGGTTATGGTTGACCCCAACGCTCTTCCATTTTGGGTAAGAGAACTCATCACTGGCCTATTGTGCATTTAGTTGCCCACTGCCATCATCCCCTACAGCAACTGTAGGTTGTGGATCATCTCCTCTCGTGCTGTGTGGAATTTACCCTGGGGGGCAGAATAGACACGAGACAGACTGAAGCTCTGCCATGAGCATCTCTGGATTAATAATAGTGCTGACAGGGGGGAAAAGGCTGTAAAATTGCAATAGGGAAGTGGGGTTTTGATAAAAATTCCATTGGTCAATGTAGGTGACAGTTTTATTAATGAAAAGTTACCAGTGATGACAAAATAAAAGCAGTATTTGATGTGGGTTTTTTTGTTTCATCTTGATATTTTTTTTTAGAATCTGGTAGATGTGGGTTTTCTAGTCACTTTGGGGGCTTTTTCTCCACATTCCCATATTTTGTATCTGTTTTCCACCTTTTTCTAGTTACACAACAGTGAAAGGTATAAGAAGTGGTTTTACCTTGCTTTTTTACAAACTTTAAGCTTTACCCAATCCATTTCCATCAGGAAAAGATTTAAATGAGGATTCATTTGATGAAAAGATTCAAATGCAAACATTCAAATGGGAAGGAAAAAATGGGCCAGGGGGGCTGGGGACATAGATCCTGGACCTGAAATGGGAAACTAAAAGTTCTCCGTTTCCAAACATCAAAATGAAAACTGGAATGTCGCAGTCTCATCCATTCCCATATCAACCTTTCTCAGAGTTTTCTTTAGGTAAAAGTTTCAGTGTTTTGACTCGTCCTGATTTTGGTTAAAAACAAATACTGAATTTTCCCGCAAGAAAATTTACTGATCAGTTCTTAAATACCCGCCAACTGCCATATATTACTACTGTACTTTAAATGCAAGTACCATAAAAAGCAAAATCATAATATCTGTTCCATTCCTGACAGTTTCTTTCTCACTTGTGTTCTCCAGATGATGCCACAGACAAGGACCTCTCTGATCTGGTCTCTGAAATGGAAATGATGAAAATGATTGGGAAACACAAAAACATCATTAACCTCTTAGGTGCCTGCACGCAGGATGGTAGGTCTTCCCCATACTTCCGCAGTGTTGTGTTGGTAGTACCCAGTCTCTGTCTGCTGTGGAGTGAACGCTGTGTGAGCTCAGCCATGTGTAAACCCAGCTACTTTTAAGAGAACTCTGCTACTTTTTCCTGGACCAGCAGACATAAGGATATTTTTCCCCTATGATAAAAAAAAAAATATTAAATTAAAGCCTCTATATTCAGGTTATGCAGAGGGAGGAAAATTAATCCTAGCCTCGTGCCCTGGAATTATTCCCAAGACACTCTTGACTACTGTCATAGGTATACGCTGGGCTAAGTGAAAAGGTGACCGGCTGTTGCATACAGAACCAAATATCTGGCTCCCCTCCTGTTATCAGTGCTACTTTTTACTGATTTTTTTTTCATTCCTTTTTCTTATTGTCTTGCTCTCCTCTCTCTGGAGAGGATATGTTGGGACTGCAGGGAGCAAGGTTTGACTGTCACTAATTATTATTTACTCGCTGAATGCCTCAAATTTGGCTAGGCAAAGCATTTGTCTAGTGGTTCAAGCACTGGATTAGAATTCGAGCTCTGGAACTGAGAAAGTCATATAATGCCCCTTCCATGCCTCTGCTTCCCTACCCATCCCATGGAAATAATACTGCTTAGTCACAGGGTAACACTAAGGGTTACCCTGTGACCAACCCTAACATCTCAGCAGTGTCCCTTTGCCAGCAGGGTGTGGTGGGGTTTGTGTAACATTTTATCAGAGGCAGTGCAATCCACTGGCTGCAAAACCTGCGTGGAGACCCCCAAACCTGAGCACTTCTCATGTCTGGTTTTCTTAGGAATTTGTCTGGCTCTGGGTACTGTAGTATTTCAGTCTTAATGCATTTATCCTCACAACATCCCTGTGAGATAGGAAGTACCATTAACATCTTCTAAAAGATAGGGAACCGAAGCACAGAAAGGTTAAGTGGCGTGACCAAGGTTCACATATGAAGTCTGATGGAACAGACTCAAATGTGGGTTTCCCAATTCCCAGGCTTGGGCTTTAGTCACTGGACCATCCTTTCCCTCTGACCCTACATTAGCCATGGGCTTGCCTTGTGACTGCCCAAAGTCACCTCACCTCTCTGCCTCATGCCTTCCATCTGTGACATGGGACTACCAACAACATTTCTCCTTCTTTGGTTTTTCATCTGCAGGCCCACTCTACGTGTTGGTAGAATACGCATCAAAAGGGAATTTGCGGGAATATCTCAGGGCTCGTCGGCCACCCGGCATGGATTATTCCTTTGACACCTGCAAACTGCCAGAGGAACAGTTAACATTTAAAGATCTGGTTTCATGTGCCTATCAGGTGGCCCGGGGCATGGAGTACTTGGCTTCTCAGAAAGTGAGTTGAAAGCTGAAAGTCTGTGTTTGTTTACTGCATGCATCCAAGCAGATGGAAGCACTTGCAGTGTACAGAGCAATTTATGGGTATAAAACATCAGTCCTCTTTTCTTAAGAGCCTGTAAATATGTAATTTTATTTATTAATACAAGAAGCATAGGTATGGGCTGAAAAAGTCTGCTTAAGGACCTAGAAGCCCTGTTGTTTATTGCTGAGGCCATATATGAACTTCTTAGCAGGGCTTCCCTTGGCTGTCGTCAGCAGTCGAGCAGTAACTTTTGTGAACAACATGGGGATACCAGGGTAATGTAGTATGTGTATGAAAAACTAGACTTCCATGCATGTTTCCATTGTGCAACACAAGTGTTTACTTGCTGAACACATCTAAATGCAGAGGAAATTGAGCTTCCGCTGTCCAAGCCTCAGTCAATTCCAGACTCTATCCCAGGGCAGCGGCAGTCAGGTTTAGAGCCACAGCAAGTTATATGTGCTGCATCTCAGCAGTGTCCCTTTGACAGCAAAATGGAAGGTGACTTCGAGAGAGAATCTCATCCAAGACAGTCCTGGACGCCCCTGTGGTCCTGTTTCAGTGTCACTGTAAATACGGGGCATTGAGGACGAAGCAGAGATCCTGCCTGGGACAGGCATTCATTTCTGGAAAGAGCAATGACTCTTGTTAGGGTAGCAGTGGATCATAGGTCCTGCTAGTTACACCAGTGGTGGGTTTGACCTATTAAAACTATTCCAACCATAGAAATGCTTCTGGGGGTCTCTAAAAGTGCCTTACAGACATTGAGTGTGGTGGTGTTCTCATGTACACCCTTGTTTCCAATAGCGTCACATGAGCTATTGCTGATTTGTGCTCATGTGAGTGAACGGAGAATCTAGCCTGTTGGTTGATTTAAGCCTTGTAGCACATGGCATAATCCTGTCTTAGAGCTGGGGAAAGCAAAGGCCTAGAAAGATTTAGGGTTACACAAGTCGTTGGTAGATCTGGAGCCAAATCTAAGGGTGTGGCTGCACTGCAGTCAAAGTTAGATTTAAGTCGGCTCACCCAGGTACTGGAGCAGTCTCAGCATGGCAGCATGGGGCTCAGAGCAAGCCAATTTACTTTGCTTCTTGGGTCGTGAATTCATTGAAATGTTCTCAGTGTCTTCATTCCATTTGGTTTACTGTAAAAGTAGGCTCAGACCCTATGGCCCATGGAGCCGTTGGTTCTGGCCTGCACAGGTCGGGCTTTGACGGTGTGTAGGAGCTGGGGGCTTCATCTGTGCTGCACCACACTGCCTGGTGGCTGGGCAGTGGGGAGCTTTCCTGCATTGCACTGCAGCTGGGATGTGGGGGCAAGCAGAGGTAAGGAGAAGCAGTGGTGGCAGCAGGCACTAGCCCACCTTGAACCCATACTGGGCCATTCTAGCCACCACCAGGAAATGTTGCCAACCCCTTCTGTAAACCACTGGCCCGCACTCTTGCCCCTGTATAAAGAAAAGCAGGGATAGCAGATAGGAGAGTCTATGCAATACATACTGCTAGAGTGTGGCTCGTGTGAGACAGCATGTGGCAGTGATGAGACAGAGCAGGGAATTAGACGGCACCCACATCTTTATAGGCTGGCCTCCGAATAAATGGAACAGCATCTCATAAACCACAGCTCGCTGTTGATTCCAGCCATAAGCAGCTCAGTAAGCCCATATTTATTTATTTGTTCGCCTTTCACAGTGCATTCATCGAGACTTGGCAGCCAGGAATGTGTTAGTCACTGAAGACAATGTGATGAAAATCGCTGACTTCGGCCTAGCCAGAGATGTTCACAACATCGACTATTACAAGAAAACAACCAATGTGAGTACAGAGCTGCTGAGCGCAGGGAAACTCCTGGTGGCTGGGGAGTTGCTCATCCTTCAACACATAGCCCCTGTTCTGCATCTCCATTTTAAGGCTGTTCTTGCATTGAGAAATCTGCTTATGCCCAGTTAGTAGCAGACAGGCGGGTAGCAGTGGGGCACAGGACGGGCACATAAGTCCGTACATGACAGGTCTTCAGTGAAGTTTTGTTACTAGCATCACCAGTTGTTTTAGAGGACCCAAGTCATAAAATGGGAATCTGTTTATAACGAGCTTCAGTAAAGTGAAACTTGACTGATACCAAAAAGCAAGCCAGCCCCCGCCCTCCCCCACCCCCAAGCCTTTTCAATGCACTGTAGCTGCAGTTATAATGGGTCTGCAGTTACAGAGCCAACTCCTTGTCAGCCCCAAACCTCTCCAGTGCTTCTCATTTCAATGGGCACCTCCCCTTGGAGTCTCCTGCATTTCACACCTGTCCCTCACTTTCATGGTAGAAAATTATTTGCATTGGATACAAAGAATTGAGAGACGTGGGCTCCACAATAATGGAATGCATCCGGTAGCAATTCGATGGCCTGCAGGAATGAATTCTGTGCGTCTCTTTCTCATTTCGGGTTTTTGTCACATGTTGCAACCCACATTTGTGTCCCTGGTGAGTAGCAAGGGGTGGGCCCATTGAAGTCAATGACAAAAACACCGCCTTGGATTTCCCTGGGACTGGGATTTGAATCTTGGTGAAGTTGTGCTGGGAATCTGGTTTTGAAGGTTTCCCTGACAGTTTGGCCTCAGCAGCATTTTAACTGGGAGAGCAATGTGGGCTTTCATTCTCGAAAGCCCACAGCCTAGCTGCCTTTATACTCGATGGATGTTGTTTTCAGGCTGAGATGTGGATGCTTCGATACGCTAAACCTGCTTTGGCAGTGAAATGCAGCACACCATAGAGAGGGTGTTTACAGCAGAGATTGTCCATGAAGATCAGGGGATCAGATGTTATAATCTGTTTACATGTGGCCACTTTTGCCTTGCACAGTGACAAGGGAAGCAGATGTGGTTGCTAATGAAAATGTTTCAAACTGGATTAGAATAGAAGATTCAGATGGTGCCGTTGTGGCTGAGCGAATATGCTGATGGGACATTCCCTTTGTCTTCCTAATTACAGGGTCGGCTGCCTGTGAAATGGATGGCTCCAGAAGCATTGTTTGACCGGGTCTACACTCACCAGAGCGATGTGTAAGCATTACCCACATTAAAAACATTTAATATAAAGCAAAACAAATACCAAAGGATCATAAAGACCAATGCATTGCAAAACACAAATGGGATTTGGGGCCTGCACAGTGCGGGTGGAAACTGGTAGGAACAAACAAACAAAATTCTCCTCTCTGTATGCTGCGTTTGACTCTAAAATACAGCTCCACCCAGGTGGCTTACTGTGGCCTCATCGGGTGCGTCTACACGTCACCCTACAGCAATGTGGCAACTTAGCAATCACGTGTCTACATGCGATTGCCAGCTACATCACCATAGCAGCAAAATTTAACAGTGCACCACGCATACGGCACAGTAACCACTCGTAACGCACCATGCTTTAGTACTTCCAGAAGGAAAGTACTAAAGCATGGCACTGTAGCAACATTGCTGTACGGAAACAGGTAGACACACACACAGATAGTATTTTCATCCTCGGATTTACAGTAAGCTTCTAAATATCCTGATAAGGAGATAGGCAGGTGTTTCTGATCCATTGTATAGATGAGCAGACTGAATCATAGAGAGGCTTCAACCTGCAATCTGTATGTATACAAAATTATTATAAACTTCCCTGAACTTTAATCCAATTAGTTAGACTTCAGACAGACTACAGCTAGCCAGACAATATGCATCAAATGGACTATCTAATTTATTTTGCTGTGTGGGGGATTGATTAGTTTATTTGACAAAGTTTTTCTTTTTACCCTGCCTAGTCAGCTTTCATGGCTTCTTACTGTAAGCAAAAGACAGCCCAGAACAGAAATGAAGTCCATTGACACTCAGTCTAATGATTAACCACACCGTCCCAGTTTCTAACTAGAGCAAAGAGCGGAGAAAGCTAAGATGCTGTTTCATATCACAGCTGAACTTTGGACTCTCCATTTTTATTTTATGGAAGCTGGAATAGCCCAACTAAGCCCAATAGCCCAACAAGGCATGCTGGCTTTTTACTTTTTAATAGTGGGATCCAGGTGCAAACAGAAAAACCTGTGGGATCTCCAAATGCTGATACAATTTCTCCATTTAGCACTAGACAAATTGGTATTTTCCCTTTCTCTGAATTTCAACATGTAGCCTCATTGATCTAAAATCATAGTTTCCATGCTTAGGTAATGCTGCAGTGGGCGTGATAGATAAATCTAAGCTTAGGGAGACAGACAGATAATCCTTGTTCTAAAAAAGAAATACAGAAGGCAAAAGATACTTTGAAAAGAGGACTTTCAAATGTAGCACAGCTGCAGTGCTAGGGCATGTAACCTTAGTTCTCTGCTTACTTTTGTAGGGATATTTTTCTCCGAGCCTGGCCAGTGAAATAAGGGTTGTAACAAGCAAGTTTTGGTATCAGCTTGCACAATTAGTGGCCTGTGGTTTCAAGCCTGCAATTCAGTGAAGCTGTGCATGAATAATTTGATTTGTTCCATTCAGTGGAGCTGGTGGAAGACCTAACAAAGAGCTGGGGGTAATAGATGGGCTGTCACCTATCTGATTAAATGCTCATTTCAATTTCAGACTTGGTGCCCGGGATTTCTTTGCTATTGAGTTGGATCAGCAGAGATCTCCAAGTAACTAGTAAAAATGGCCTAGGCAATTAGTCATGCTATTGATGACTTTGTTAGCTATGCATGGCTGCACAGGAATAAAGCAAAATGGGCAAAAAAAAAAAAAAAAAGCTCATTGAATTTTAAAGATCCTTCTTTGGTTTCCAGCTGGTCTTTTGGAGTGCTGCTCTGGGAGATCTTTACTTTGGGTGGGTCTCCCTACCCGGGAATTCCAGTCGAGGAACTCTTCAAACTCTTAAAAGAAGGCCATCGCATGGACAAGCCAGCCAACTGCACTCATGACCTGTAAGTGATAGCATGGAGGCCTAATGGCCTCATTTTTAGAGACTTTGCTTGATGTGGGAGTTTATTTTCCTTCCTAATTCAATTTCTCCAGTCCACTTCCTTGTGTGTCTAAATACCACTGGCCATTGCTTTGTCTGACCCCCACTTACTACTATTTAGCCAGCCCTGCTGTGTGTCCCTGCTGTGCCATTGTCCAGTTGGCTCCAGATAGACTTATCCAGCCTGATGCGTTTAGACTCAATATGTGACTGACAGACAAAATATGCAGCTACACATGCCATGCTTGGTTGATTCATGTCAATTTAGCATTCAGCTCTGATCTGTGAATTTGCCTGGTGAATTACCTTCTGAATACGACTTTTCCTGCCTTTTTATTTATTTGTTTCATGTGCTCTGCAGTGATCAGAAACAAGGGGTTATATTTCACAGGGCCCCCTGTAATAAGGGACTTTGCACTGCAGAGCCTTTTTCAATTCAACGCTCCACTGCCTAAGTGTTATTTTAAGTGGGCCAAATTGTCATTCAGTGAGGTGTAGGTAGAAAAAGGATTTGGCCCAGTTGACAGTGACAGATAATAATGAGGAATGAAAGCCGTTCTATCTAGCCTGGACACAACTCAAATCAGAAACTCCTCCTATGGAACTGAAACCATTGCTAAGAAGCCCATTCCGCGCATCAGAAAATGCCATCGTTCCACTGAGTTCTTTCCGAGTTACTTCAGCTTCAGTAACTTCCCAAACAAACGTGAATTAGGGAACACTTAATTGCCCATGTCTATCTTCACGCACTGCGCTGGGACGGAGGGAGGAAAAATCACAATTCAGGCTGCGTCATGCAGTCAGATTCCGTCGAAAGCATGTTATCTCCCAGTTCCTTACCGGTGTCTTTTGAACTCTTCCCCAGGCCTTTTGGCTTCTCTTGCTCCCCGCTGGAAGAGCCTTCTTTCTGGTCCTGCTGCCAAAGGGCACGCATGTCTGAGGCGACCAGGAGCTCCAGGCCATTGAAAGCCTCAGCCTGTGCTTCCTATGCAATTAAGAGCCCCATGCTAGACAGACAAAGCACTAAAGTTACTGAGTGATCATGCTGCCTTTCTTAGTACTCTGTAGTCCACCCTTTTCCTCATCCTTCCTGCCCAGTTGCTCTCTTTTTCTCCTGCACTCTTTCACAGTGCTTTAGTAAGACCCCAGGCAGGAGATACTTCCCTGTGGGCTCTCCTTTTAACGATATTTCTGCTTCTGGCACAACAGCTGAATTTACTGTTCCTACATCATTGCACTCGCTCGGATGGCTAGGTCATGTTGGGTGGGTTGGTCAGTCATGGGCTGAGGGAGCCACATGTCTTTCTGAAGGACGTGGGTCACTGTTTGCCCCTGCAATGTCTTACGCTGGCAACTGCCAGGGCATGGAGAGTGTGGGCTCTGTGGGGAATGACTCTTGTGAGTACATATTACTGTCTTTTCTCAGGTACATGATCATGAGGGAGTGCTGGCATGCGGTCCCATCTCAAAGGCCAACCTTTAAGCAGCTTGTTGAAGACCTGGACAGGGTCCTCACTGTAACGTCAACTGATGTAAGTGTCTACCACAGCGATGACCTGAACCCAAGCCCTGCAGCTGTATACACCTGAATTCTGGGACTGGTTTGCAGTTCAACCCTAGATCTAAAATTCAGAAATGGTCTTTATCGTAATAGTGGGTGAACCCAGATCCAGACACCCTCAAACTTTGGGGGAAGAAGTTTGACTGCGGGTCCAGTATTCACAGGTCTCACCCCCTAGTACTAGCTGTAATGGGAAAGTACTGTGGTTTCATTGCTGTCTTTATCTCCAAGTGATTTTTTTATTTCTCCCTCCTTGCCTCGTAGGAGTACCTTGACCTATCAGTGCCATTTGAGCAGTATTCTCCTGCCTGCCAGGACACACACAGCACCTGCTCCTCGGGAGATGACTCCGTATTTGCACATGACCTTCTGCCAGATGAGCCATGTCTTCCCAAACACCAGCAGTGTAATGGTGTCATCAGGACATGATGACTCAACACACACACAGACAACAAAAAAAAAACCTCACGAATGTAGACTTGGGGGAGGCCGAGGACAACGGTAGTGAAGGATCTTTGAAAGAAACTGCTTGATAATTCAAGATGATTTTTGTTGTTGAGCCGTAGAGGGTTGTTTTTTCGTTTGTTGTTTTTTTTTCCCCATTTGCTGTATAAGAAGTCAAGAAGCACTGTTTGGCCTGAAGGAACTAATCTCTTGCCAAGATTATATATATATATATATATATATATATATATTTTTTCCGAAAACAGAATGTTAAGTCTATGGGGTGCCGACCTCTTGACCTTCAGTAATGTATTATTGAGTGCCAGAGTTACCGTGCTGTGCCTGCAATACAAAGAAGAAGAAAAAAATCTTCCTTTTTTTAAAAAAAAAATGTAAAGAATGTAGAAATTCTTTGCTTATGCAATCTGTACATGAACCTTTTTGGTGGAGCTGAAAAGCCACATTGCCTGCAGGGATTCATATATTTATATAAATATCTATATTTTTGTTGTTGTTGTTGATATTGACTTCATGTAGATTTACCCAACGACTTGGAAGGAATCCTTTTTTTTTTCTTTTTTTTTTTTTTTCTTTTTTGAAAAAGAAATATCTAAATAAACTAGTTGTGTCATCTTAGAGTTAATGGCAGTGGCTTAGCCATATAGGTCATACCATGCTTGCACTAGAGCTGGGAGTGACTGGTATATACAGAAGAGCAAGTACATTCCAAACAGAAGGGCCAATGAATGGAGGTGATTTTAAACTTTTCATTTTTATGTGAATGGGAAGGAAAGTGTCAAGGCTGCTGGTATAAAGGTACCACCTTTCTCCAGGAAATTGCTAAATCATAATATCAGGCACAGACGTATGTCTCTGGTTGTGTAACTTCTTGCCTATCGGGGAACCATGGCCCCATGATCTTCTGTGGGGCCATATCTGAATTCAGTGGTTTGCCCATGTTTCTGAAGCTAAGGATTTGGGTACAATTTACTTTCATGAAATGGATTTGGATTTGGGGTTTTTTTTGCCTTTAAAGGGTAAGTTCTAGTGAAGCATATATATGTTCAGTAGCTCTCCCCTTTAAAGCGAGCAAGTTGCCTTCATCTATCTGCAGTGATTTGGAGAGAGAACTTACGGGTACCTGTAGGCAAGAGCCTTTAACTTATATCAAAAAGGTTTACTCCAGAGAATTGTGTACATATCTATAAATATATACTGTATATATATATAAAAGATTGTATAATACTAATGCAACAAATCAGTACTGAGAGGGAAATCTCTCAAAAGAAGAGCATTGCAATCTAGGATATACTGATCTGGGCAAAAGAAAAGTTTTTGTTTTATATCTTCACAGTTTTGTTTTAAAAATTGTACCTTAACATGTATATTTGTAAAGTTATTTATAGACATTAACATATCTGTTCATTGGTTTAAATAGCATAGTATTACTGTAAACTTAAAATTTCACTGAGTTTTAAGTAAGTTTTTAACTTATTAAAATGGAGAAAAAATATATTAATCAAGTTTTTCTTTTGTGTTTATGGGAAATATTGAAAAAATGTATAGATGTACAGTCCTTTAACAAATTACATTTAATGTTTTTTATATATATACACACACACACACACACACACACACACATGTATATGTATATATGTATGTATGTATTCATTTTTTTTAAATATTAGTTTATCCTGGATTGCAGTGAGCAAAGGTAAGTTTATTTTTCAATACATCATCAGTGGTTAAATCCAAACAAATAGGAGCAGAGAGGTGATCTTTACTTATTTGAAAAAAAATAGGGCCAAGAATTCTTCCATCAATTTAACCACTGTTCATTAAGGGGGCGTGGGTGTTTATTTTTCTATTTTCGAATGAAGGTATTCTTTGTGGTTGACTTAATAACAAGTATGCAGCAAAGCTAAATGTTGACTTTGGATGATGCACAGTTTTTTTCTTCATTTGCTGGTACCATTCCATTTTGGGGTCTAAGAAATTACATGTGGGCAAAATAGCAAGAGGAGCGACGTTCTGTCTAGGGGAGCTGAAATGATTGCATTTTTTCTCTTGCATCTAACACATGTTGAACAATGCCAATAATACCTAATTTGCTACATTGAAAACTGTAGGCGATTTATGTCCCTATGTGCCAAAAAAACTGCTTCAAGGCACAGAAGCAGGGGGAAATATAGTTTGGCTAGCAGGCAATAGCAGATATTTTTATGAGAAGATTTTACCTGCTACCATGAAGAGGCAATATAGTAATTGCACCCTGATTTTTTTTTTTCTGGACATACTACATATCAATGATTTAAAGTGACAGGGTGGCTGCATTTCATGCTAACATTTTTTTTTCTTAGAGCCACAAAGTTTGGGTCATAAAAGAAATAATTTATAGTCTGAGGTAGATTTCTGTAGGTTTTGGTTTTTGAGATTTTAAAGAGAAAAAAAGTTGGTATTTTTTTACA